GAGGCTGGCGGTCAGCAGTGAGAGTCGATCAGGGTTGAGAACAGCCTGCTTAGGACTGCAGTCCAATCGATGCTGTCAGATAATTTAGGGTCACAAAAATAAGGATCTGAAGCTGTATATTTTTTCTTAACCTTTCCTCTTCATAAGTTCATCGTGCCTGGCAATTGTTACAGTAATGGAAAGCTAATACAGGTGCTAATACTAAGAAGAGCACACAAAGGACATTGTAGATGTTAGCACTCAGGGGAAAGGAGCAGATTCTGATCAGGAAAGACGGAGCCAGCCAGGGGGTTTGGGATGATAGCAGTCATCTAGTTTTTGACCCCAGTAGGTGGTGATTACATAGATGCTCATTTAAACACAAGTTGTGTGGAGGTACATTTGTGTTTTATGCCATTGTGTGTGTGAAGTCATACTTTTAATAAACCTCTGACCAGAAAACATTCCTACTTGCTGTTTCTTCTTAATGATCAGGTCACTAAGAGGATTAACCAACCTGGTTTCAAAGCACATCAGTGTTAAATAAGTCCCTGTGTATTGTAAGTGTCATTCTATAGGCACAAAAGCCTTCTCTGTGAGAAGAGTGGTTGGAAAGGGGAATAGAGGAAGGCTTTTAGTCTCATCAAGGAATAAATATTTTGGCATAGAGGGATATAGAAATGTTTCTTTGCACAATTTAGGGAGATTAGAATTTAACTTTGTGGTGTTGATATAAAAAGAATCAGAAAGGGGAAATACTATTATCATTTAATAAAGTTTCGATATTGCAAGGATTACAGGCATTTTTGCACTGACAATGTTAAAATCTAAAGTTCTTATCATTCTGGTGAAAGCAAAAGAAGAAAACGGAGAGACTAGGGAAAAGCCTTCCATAGCACATGTGAACAGGACAGTGGTGTGGCTGCAGGGAGGGGTGGACAGCAGGGTCGGTCTCGCCAGTCAAATGATTTCTGCTAATTTTTCTTGTTCCTCAGACAAGGTTTTAGTCCATTTTGAACTGCTTTCATAAAACACCCGATGCCAGATGCTTTATAAAGAAAAGAGGTTTGATCAGCTCACAGTCTTGGAGGCTAAAAGTCCCCACAATTCTGCCCCTCTGCAAACCCCACTCTAAGGGGCCTCACTGTGGTGAGAGTGGGTGTGGGAGGGGCAGGTCACATGACAGGACAGGAAGCCAGCAAAAACCAGTTCCAGCCAGTGCCATAATGACTGGTTCTCACGAGAACTGATCAGGCCCTTGAGAATCCCATCAATCCCTTCCTGGTGTAGGTCCCCAAGGAATTACTGCACTCTGTACCCAAGATATTAAAGATTCCTCCACCCCTCAACACTGACACACGGATGCCCACACTTCCAGCGCAAGAATGTATTTAGGGTACACACAAACCTTATGCCAGCTGAGCAAGGGGACACAACTTTAAAACAAAGCGAGAGAGATAAAAATGGTAAAGCCTCACCAATCAGTGTCCTCAGTATGAAAGATGCTGCCAGTAACATGTCAAGGAACATTCCAGACAGATTTGGAAATTTCACCTTATTACTTAGCTCTGAGTCCAGCTGGCACAAAAATAAGACAAGCACTCACTTCCCATATTTTTAGTAGTATATTTGTCATTATGTGAACTTTTGGCAATATCTTTCCTCATTCTTCGAATCCCTTGACAGTACTAATTACTGAATTAGGATTATACATCATTTCTTCAAGCTGTGGCTTTTTTGTTTATTTTGTAAGTTTGAAGGCTAAAGTAAGTAAAGGCTGAGAGTTTCCAGAGCACCACTTAGCCACTGAATGGAAGCACCTGCGATCCAAAGGCTATCTTTATGAGTGGCAACACCTCGATGTTAGGCTTATAGCATTGAGTTGTAATGAAGGGAACGCACCATACTTGTGTTACAGTCACAACTAGCCTGCCAGCTTATAATTAATTAGATGCAGGTCCAAAAATGAAATGTCATGCATTAAAAAAATCAAACGGCACTGAGCTTGTAATGTATATTTTATTTTGCACAAGCTTGCATATATACTGCACATACATTCAGTTTAAGAGAAGATGGAAGGCACACAAGGCAATTGGACTACTGTACCCTTTAAGTGGTACAAAGCAAAAGGTAAAAGTTTGGAGAGTATACAAAAGCTTAAAACACACAAAGGAAAACCCCCTCCCACCCTCCCCACAATGATGTTTAGTTTTTTCCTGTTGTAAAATTTAGTAGCTGCCAAACTAAATTTTTAAAACTTTTACTTTAAAATCAATTGTCTACTGCACCTTTTTATTTTCTTTTTAATATGGACAGGGAGTCTCATTGTTTTTTTAATCATATCAATTAATATTACAGTACATCCTTGGTAATACAAAATTGTACACCTTCATCAAATAAATTAGGATAAATTAAACCAATAAATTATGCAAAGTCTTCAGAACAATAGACAATAACAAAAATCCACAATTGAAATTGCCTCTAGCTAAAAAAAAAAAATTCAAAAATTGACTTTATCAGTTCAGTTATTGTACTATATTCAAATCAAAGGGTCTTTATTACAAAAGAAAGCTTCATAATGCTATTTACAACATATTGCTAAATAATATAAAGGCAGTGTTTTTGTCACGGTTTGTATTATATACATATGAGAAATGGCTGGGACAGGTATTGGGGGAAGCCACAACCTTTGACTCTTCTAGGTAGCTGAGAGACCAACCCCAAACACACTTTTCTAGTTCTAAATTTGAAGTGGTAATGTACAACTTTAAAATGCTTTATCTCTCTATGTGGAGGAATTGTGTATTTAAAAAATACAGAATGGATACATTTTCACAAAGGAAGGCTAGCCTGTTTGCCTTTTCTGTGCATGCTTGTGCATTCGGGGGGGTGGGGGTCTGATTTGAGAGAGGACTCACTTGAAAAGATTCAAAGTCCAGCCGCTTCCGCAATCTGTTATAGTCTCAGAAGAATAATTACAAGAAGATGCAAAGGTTAAATACCAGTTTTGATCCCAGCTCTGAATATGAGCATTTTAGCTTTAGTTTTTATAGATGGTTCACAACCAGCAGATCTACAGAAAACAAAACTGCATTTCCTTCAACAGAACATTTAAGTGCAATACGGTAACTGTTACTCCTATCAACCAGTTACGTGTTTTTAAGGGGAGCTTTTTGAAAACAATGTTCTTGTAATTTGCAAACACAGAGTTTGTACCAAAAGGAAACATTTGTACTATTCACACCAATGGAAACTGTATAATATACATGGCAAAGAGATTTTGTACTCTCCTCAGATACACACTGCTTCCTTCAGGGGTGTGTAACCACCTGTTCTCTGATGAATTTATGATTGCTTTGGGGGGGCCATTATATTTAAGGCTCCCCCCAAAATCTTTATAACTTTATGACTCAATATCAACCTGTATGTATGTGGGAGTGGGGGTCACTTCCTAAATGTCTTCATGTACACAGAAAAGAAATTTCATAAATTTACAGAAACTTGCTCCTGACATCTGATAAAAGAGACTGTCATCTTTTAAAAGCAGAGAGCAGGATTTTCAAGAACGCTTTCGACTGTCTATACAGTCACTGTAGTGTTCCTAATAAACCCAACAGATGTTGTCAGAATGTAGTTATTTATTAAAATCTTGTGTCTTACATAACAACAGGCATGAGGTTAAATATTTACATTGCTTTATAAAAGTTCCCCTCTTGCTTTAGTGTTTCCGTTTTGCTTCTTTTTGTTGTTGTTTTAAAATTTTTAAATGATATTCACCCACATTCCCAGTACAGTAACAAAGATTCTGCAAACATAAAACACTTTAATTAAATAATACTCAGAGGCACAAAGCAAACTTTGGGAATCTGTGGGTGAACAGTTACTTAAATAATGACTACATTCTAACATCTTCCTTGTGTTTTACCATTTAATGTGAAACATTCTCCTTAGCCAGAGAGACAGTAAGAATAAAATGTTTTGTTGTTGCAAATAGAACATTCTTTTCACAAAACATAACAAATGTCTAAAATAGTTTCTTAAAAGTAGATAGGAAAAGGTAAGTTTTCCACTTCACACGCATATATATAAGTATATTTTTACATGTGTGTATATGTGCGTATGTGTTTTTATGTTCACACATCTGCACACACATAGCACATGGTATGAAATATTGCTTCTATACTACTTTTCATTAGGCTAAGAAAACACAAGATTTGCACCACAGTTACAAAAAATTGGCTTCTACAAGAATTTTCAAAACTCGGATGCTGCTCAAACAATTGAGGAAAAAATAATTTGCGGTATCAAACTGTTCTAAAAATTCTCTTCTTCAAAAACTTATTCTCCCGCTTTGTTTTAAAAAGACACAAAATATGCATAGCTATCGTTATGTCAAACAGCCAGAAAAAAAATCTAGTGTTTATTGCAGCTGTAGTAATTGGAAATAAAGTCAAAAGATGAAATTGAAAGCCACAGAAGGCACAAGAACAATTGTACTTGTGGGAGAAAACTGGTATTTTGAAGGATTTTTAAAAAAAAAATCCCCCCGCTGGTGCATTTTAGATCTAGGCACAGACTATAACCTCAAATGTACACAAAAAATAATTTAGAGTTAACAGAAAGCAAGTGGTAATGTGGAATTTCAACATGGACTTTAGACTTTTTTTTCTCCTATGTAAACTGTCCCTCGTCCTTCACCCTCCCACCCTGGAAAACCAACTTTCTCCTGTGGACCAAGTTTTCGCTTGGTGAGAGTTGATCTGAACTTTGGAAGATGGTGATTTAAAAAAAAAACCAAACTGTTAAACAGGAGTGTTTGAGAGACAGGCTTTTGTAATTTTCCAGTGCGCTGGGAGACGCAAGATTCTACGATTGTGGAAGGGGGGGAGATCACTAAAAGCAAGGCGATAGTTGTATTTTCATGACAGAGGCGTGTTTATCTTTACTCTGAACACGGAGAGGTATCCTCAGTAGCTAAGTGCATCAATGTTTGGCTGCAAACACACAAGTGTTTGAGACAGGCTTTTGTAATTTTCCAGTGCGCTGGGAGACGCAAGATTCTACGATTGTGGAAGGGGGGGAGATCACTAAAAGCAAGGCGATAGTTGTATTTTCATGACAGAGGCGTGTTTATCTTTACTCTGAACACGGAGAGGTATCCTCAGTAGCTAAGTGCATCAATGTTTGGCTGCAAACACACATTTTTGCTTAATTTGTCTATTTAAATCACAAAGGCAGGGAAGAATAATGCTCAAAATTCAAATAAACCTGGAATCATTATTTCACTTGCCACAGATTAGGAAGACACCTCGCAGATCCATCTACTGAGCTGAATCTGCTACAGCCTCTCTGCCTTTTGCCTTGCAAAGGGTAACACGATGTTGATACGAATTACATGGAATTACAGCAACGATCCGGTTATACAGTGACATAAATGATGGACATCATATGAGTCCAAACGAGCGCGTCAAGAGTGTGACCGGAAGTTGAGATTACTTTGTGCTGACTGGAATATATATATGTTCATTTTACTCCAATGTACGGATTATCAGAACTTTTTTTTCTTTTTAAGCAAGCCGGAAAACTAACACATGGGATGGAATGATTCTGTGGGCATATGTGAGAGGGTACAACTGGGGAACGTGTGTGGCCCCGGTGTAGGGTAGAAGGCTGGTGCCCCAGCCCCGGCCACTGCAGGACCTGCCCACACTCCTGGGGCCCGTTAGTGTCCAGGGTGATACAGGGAATCAGAGGACTGCACCGTTTAGTTTAAAGTCAGCAGGTTTTAAGGCTTTGTGCTGACAATAATTGTGTTCCCACATTCCCATCCATCAGCAGAATTTGTAAATGACGGTGAATGACAACAACCAGGTTGCCTCGTTAGTCACATGGGCTACCTGCATTCTCCAAAGTCAAATGGAGTTTTTAAATGAAAATTAAGGGAAAATGGCATTTATATCTCGTATGTTTTAAATACCAGGTTTGTAACTGTGTCATTTTAAGAGCTGTAGCTCAAAGGGGAGGGAGGGGCCTGGAAAACAATATTAGAGTGAACATTGCATTCTTACTGCTTCTGAACACAAAAACCCATCTAAGAAAACAAGTGTGAATGCTGCTCGATTTTCAAAATGCATGTATGGGACACTGTGCATCATTGAAAACTGGAAAAAAGAAAGGGAAGAAAAAAAAGAAGAGACCCATTGAAGAAAGTGTGAAAAAGCAGCTAGCTTTCTTTTTGCTGAAATTGTGTCTTTTGGGTTAACCCCCAAATTTCCTATGCATCTCACATTTTGGTCAATGAGCTTCTGAACGAGAATAGATAGTATTAATGGCCTTAAGATGTTACGCCTACAGTGAAGAAACACTCCGAACGTCACCGCTACAAATACCTTTCAGGGCAGTGTGGAATCATACACAGAAACAGATCAACTAACAGCTTCCAGCAAACTTCTAGTGCAGGCAAGGGTTGCATGGTCACTTGGGGTTCCTTCATTCCTTACTTGAGGAAGGTAATCAGAAAATGGTGTTTTAGGGGAAAAAAAAAGTTAATTGAACAAAATCAATAATTCTTTTAAGCATATAAACAAAATGGAGCAGAGTGAATTGGAAACACGTGCCTTTTAAATATCTGAAGCAAAATAAGTAGAAAATGATAACAAGGTATAGCGTTTTTCTCCACAAAGACTGATCTAGAAGCTCACTTAGTATGAAGAAGATCCAATTATGAAGTCTAGAGAGGTGGCCAGAAGAGCAGGAATGAGTATCAATCTCATCTTGACAGAGTTAGTATTGTACAAAATTGTTTGCCTGCATTAGAAACTGGTCCTGATTGTTTGGGGGTGCTTGCCATTTCTCTTCGAAAGGGCTTAGGAGCAATTATTTTTTAGTTTTAATTTGGCCTTTGGGGGCATTTTTTGAGAAGTGCACTGCTCACTGGTGTTATTTAATTAAGCAAGTAAGATAAAGCTACTTGTTAAGTTCAAAGCAAACAAAATATTTAAATGTATGAAGTGGTTACTTTGCATTTTTAAACCTTCTTAACAGTAAAAAGAAGAGACAGGTCATTGTAGAGCTGTGCGGTGTCACGGTGTGACCTCGGCCACGTGCCGTTTACATCATGCCACCAATCAAGCAGGGGCATCTTTGCTAAATGCCCTTGCTTTTGAACATAGACTTTACACACTCCAGCATTCTTTTTCCCTGAAAATTAACCCGATGTGGAGTCTCCAAATGTTAAGGGCCTTGGGCAAAAGTAAACTGAAGGAGAAAGGAAAATAACCATCCCCTTGTAATGGAAAACAAAACGAAAAGAGAGAAAGATGATGAGGAGGAATTACCAGCTGATTTCATAACATATCCATGCCTCCCATACACACATATATGAAATCAAAGTCTAGACACACACAGGAAGTCAGACATCCAAAGGGAACTCTACTATTCATACATTCAGAAAGGGTTGCTGAGATTTCTACTCATGAAGCAGCTCTTGTAGGCAGTTCGGGGATTTGAAAATCTCGGGGACTTCACTATCCAGCTTGCAGATAACCTTGTAAATGGCCTTCTTCCATGAAGGGTCAACATCTTTGCCTGCGATAATGGCATTGAAAAACTCCCGTAATGTGATCTGTGCAACTTCCAGGAATCTCTCTGGAACCTGCTGATACAAGGAGACAATGGCATTAATAAAGTTTTCAGTTTCAAGTCCATAGTTCTTCAAAGGAAACGGAGCTAAGTTCATTCTTTCAGAAAGAGGCTTACGTGGCACCTGCATTTCTCTCTAAAAATGTCCGGCCTCTCTTCTCTTATGTAAAGTCATTATATATAGTGGCTTTGTTGAGTCGGAGAAAGAGACTTGTGCAAGGGATACAAGTAGATCTATTGAAATGCTAGGATTTCATTAGGAATATTAGGGGAGAGAGGGGTCAGGATTCCTCACTTCTTTAAATGGGCCCATTCAAGAAGAAAGTCTCAGAATTTCATTCATCTTTCCTTTTGATTTCCATTAGAAAAAACATGTGTTCTCCAAACTTAATAATAAATAGTTGGGCTTCTACATAAACTCAGCCTATATTTTCAATGAAGAAACTCCTCTAAAACTGTCAGTGTCCCATTTGCATCAGAGAACTGTTGACTTCCTATTCATCTTAATCTCCCCTATAAAGTAGCTTGCACATATAAAGAAGTAAGATGATGACATGAACAAGAAGCCTTAAAAAATAAAATGTAAACTGAATCCTAAAATACTGCACCAGAACTACTTTACCTGGAGATTAGAATGGACCCATAAGTGCTTGAGGCATGCAGCTGATAATAAATATAAAAACAAATATTTATTGAGTGTTTATGATGTGTGAGGCACTGTGTGGCAAACTAAATGTGATTGCCACTCCATTCTCTCAACAAACTTTTATTATTCTGCTTTTGCAATGGGTAAACAGGCTCAGAGAGATCAAGGAAATTGCACGAGGTCATTGCGTCCCAAAATAAACGTTCCCCAAATACTCTTTTTAGAATCCCTCTTTGTTAAGCTTTTTCTGCAACAATTAACCTATGTATACTGAGAATATATATGTGTGTGTCTGTGTTCTCTTAACTGTTGATTTAATAGCGTGATCTCTTGACTGGAGAAAGGGGTAGCGATTGGTGTATTTATTTAACAGTCTTTCGTAAGTTACATGTAGTGAAGTATGGTATATCATTCCTCACACCCACATAACGGATTCACAGAAAATATTCCCATGCACTCTTAATGGTCTAAGTACATGTTGATACTCAGTAGATTTCGTTTACTTGGGTCCTTATACCTCGGTTCAGATATCCCCTTATCAAAGTAAAATGGAGATACCATCATGCTGGGTATGTTTGATTCCTTTCTGTCCACCTCTTCTCAGCTGGTGCAGTGGACCTTATTACAAGGATAGTAATTGTAAAAAAAAAAAAAGCTGAATAGTCACTGGACGTCGCTGGCTTTCACATTTAAAACTGGGCAAACAAGCCCATTGCTCCCAACAGCAAGTCATTTGTTACTAGAAAAACCTAGGAGCTTCTAGTAGATAAAAGGGGCTTCGTTTGGAGTGTAATGTCGAGCAGCCTTTCCCAAAGACGTTTACCCTGGCCTGCTGCCAGGATACAGCTTCTGAGGCTGCAGAAAGTCATCGCTGTCCCCATGCATGTGGGCAAATGCCCATTCCTTTGCTGAGAACTCATATGGACCTTCCACAGACCACTGGTGCTTTCCCCATCTCCGGTGTACGCAGGGAAGAAGAGAGCTGAGTCCCATCCTCACCTTATCCCTAACAGCACGCCCTGAGCAATCTTTCTGAGTACTCCCCACCTCCCTTCTAAGACAGTCGTCCAGATCCCATCCAATGGGCATTATGGAGAGGGAATCTGGCTAGAGAAGAGCGAGGCCGGGCTGCTACTCTGACTCTAACTGCTTGTTTTGGGAGCTGTTAGCCAAATGTTACAGAAATATAATTGTTGGCATTTATTAAGATAAACATTTCAAGAAGCGTGGTCTCGTTGGCCACTGGCAACACAGCCTCGATGAAAATCTATGTTCCTTGAACGATGAGGGAGGAAGGGTGGCTGAAAACTTGCAGCATGTGTGGGTGTCTGCTCCAGAGGAAGCCCCACCCACGCGAGGACCTTGCGGGAGTAGAGGGAGCCAGACGCCAGGGCAGAGGATACCTGAAAGGATCGTCAGAGGAGGGACACATCCAGAGCACAGGCAGCTAGGGGGAGGGAGCGAGCGTGGTTAGGGTTGGCCTGAGAATACAGCAGGGGTTGAGTTTGGCTTCCTTGTTCTTGCTGTTCCCTGTACTTTATAATTGTTTATCTCATTTTAAACATTTATTCCTTGTGGTTGTCATCACGGGCTGTGTGGGATACCTTTTCTATTTGTGCCTTGGTGTTACTGAACCTTTCACCAACTTATATGTAGCTCTAGGGCCCTTATGGTGGGCATCTTTAGATACGGAGCTTTGGCTTTCACTCTGTGTGCTGCTCGGCCCAGTCCCTTTGCCAGAGTCATTTGAGAAGTTCCATACTTCATAATGACATCTTACCTTCTGCTCTGTGTCCCACTGTTCTAAAGTCACACTTATATCTTCCTCCACGCTTTTTGAAAAGAAACGTAAAGTAATGCTAGAATTGAAAGAGTTGCAGATCTCAGAAAGCATCATTTTCTAGACAAACATTTTCTGAGATGAAGAGATTATTAAATGAAGTGTCTTGTCATTAAACCATGGTGGCGTCCTTGTAACACGCTTTAAAACAATGTTGACTTCTAAGAGGCATGAACCCCTCACATAAGCTGTTGATCTGTAATCAAGAAAAAGTACCAAACGAGCTAACACCATTTCCAAATAAATGGAAATGGTATAAGATTCCCCAGAAGAAACTTTGATGATTGGTTGTACTGGGGAAGGAAATGATTTTCTGTGCACAAACAAAAAGGTTTGCTTGGTGAGCGCTTGATACTCATGTAACTCACAGATCTGGTGGACAAACATTATAATGAGATCTTCTAAGGTGGGTGCAACACACCTTTCCTGGTGTCTCTCGTGTTGGGCAGCAACTGAGCTTCTGAGAGGCTGCCAGTGAATGCCACCCACAGGTAGAAGCATCACCCATGAACACAGGGACCCTGAGCCCTCTGCCTGAAATCTTCTCCCAAGTCCATTTATGGAGGAAGGGAGGTCCTTCGGATGTCTTGCAGGGGGTGTCTTAGAATTTGGGGCTCTACGAAGGCACGATATTGCCCATGTTTCCTGCACCCCACACACACACCTAATGGCTTTCCAATCACTAATAAACATCTGCAGAAAATCCCTTAGTGACAAGTAATCCCTTATCTTGGTTTCTTTTAATAGAACCCAACAATCTGCAGAATGAGCCCGGCCTCCATCTCCTCAGCATCAGGTGGCAGCAGTCAATCAAACCCCTGGAATGCAAGACAATGCAGGCTGAGGGCCTCGAGGGCGGGGGCGGGGCGCCATGCCTTTGGACGGGCCTCAGGGGACAAACAAAAGGCTTCCAAAGTCTCTGGCTGGAACTCCTGAGGCTATTGTGGGAGCCACTGGGCCCTGCGTTCTTCAGGAGAGGAGAGTGGAAAGTTTGCCGTGATAAAAAGGCATCCTAATATAGGAACCTCACCCCAGATGGACTTGCCTTGGTATGCAGAGGAGAACAGGACGGCAATGGGTACTTGAACACACTCATCAATTTGAAGGGCTCTGGCTATCAGCGTCTGCCCATTTCATCAGTCTTTTTTACTTGAGCCTCCTCAGAGCAAAGCAGGGCCTCTGGGGCTTGGGAGAAATGGAGACCTGGGAGATGGTCTCAAGTCCACTCAGCCCAGAGCGGTGCCCACACACTCGTGTGGTGTGTTGGGTGTGTGTCCATTTCACTGCTCTTTTTTTAAAAATCAGGATGAGTGCAAAGACATCTCTGCCCCCCTGCCCCGTCTTCCTCCTCCTCTTCCCAGTTGCTTTACCTTCAAGGATGATTTGTTTTATTAAACCGACCGTCCCTAGCCTCTGCAGTACATAATAAAAGCCTGACATAGCAGGCTGCCTGCCTTCTGCGTCCTGCAGATAGTCATCGTGAGTGTCAGGACATACCAAGGTTAGCGGTCACTGGAAGTGTGCGCGCTGGCCCAAGCCCTGCCAAACGCTCTTGGCAGCTGAATGAATGTCACAGAGAATAGAAGGGGAATTACAAAGGTTAAAAAGAAGACAGCCTCTCCTATTTTCTGAAGACAGAGAAGCTGATTTTTCACACCTCGGAAACATCCGTAAGCTCATTCACCAGCGTCTTGCAGGGGACGGTCACCTCGGCCCTCGCACAGATCTCCGCGGACATCCCTCCACCCTTGATCCCTTTAAACACTGGTCCCCTGGTGTCACCGCACCAGCAAAACTGTGTTCACTGAAACCGACAGGAAACGAGCCAGGGACCCTCCCTATCCCCAGGCCTGCCTGAGAAACCCAAGGGAGGACAGCTTCACAGTTCACCTTGTAGGCACACAGAGTTTGCAAACTTCCGTGCACAAAAAGGAGAAAAGAAAGGCGCATCTGCACAGGTAGGAGTGGCTCAGAGTGCGAAAGTAAAATCCTGCACAGTGTTTTGGTGAATTCGTCTGTGTGTGGGTTGTCTTTCTCCTTCCTCCTCCATTTTTTTTTTAATACTATAAAAGGGCAATAAAATGCTGACTGTAAGAAGACAATGTCAAGGAGAAAAGGGTACTGGTATTTTGGATACTCTTCACTGCTCGCCTTGGAGAGAGAGTTATTCTTGTCACAAACCCTTTTGTCTGCATCTGCTGACTGCTTGCCTGTAGCCAGCAGCATACTTTAACTGTTTTGTCACCTCCTAACATCACATGCATCAGCTGTTGGGCTTTTGTTACGGGTATTGTAGAACTAATCCGCTGTGGCTGTTCTACTGTGCAGTAAATAAAACAGAAACGGGCTTCTCAGACTATTCTGCATGAATATTTCAGATGGCTTTTACAACTCCGATTCACAAAATCAAATAAATAAATAACTTCCCCCGCACCCCCAGGCCCTCCCCACTCACAGAAACAAAACCCCTCAAACCAGGCCCAGATGCCTCCCAGCCCACCGCACTGAGGACTCCCGACTTGAGCCCCCA